GGCTACCGTTGGAGATGCCCTAACGGAGATGGTGAGCGAGCTTGTATTTTTATGGCGAAGAAAGTAGGTGGTGAAAGAAGAAGAAAAAAAGTGATTTGGTGATAAAAGTATATGATAGGCATAATTAGTATTGAGCAAATCGAATATGTATGGCCCGTTACAACACACGGGCAATTAACTATGTAAAAATCATAGAGCCTAGATCTAGCTCTAGCAGAATGTAGCCTGCACATCGAGTTTGGTCATGTGAAGCAAAATAGGTGAGCTGGTGACATGGCACATACGCCGCCTCTTCTCTTCGTCTCCAGAGACGCATGCGCCAAAGAACAAATCCAAGACATGCTACCTGCTTCTACTGATTTCTACATAGAGGGACTCGCTTAGATCATAGGCCAGTCGATTGCTGTCGAGCGTGCCGAGGTGATTCTACCATACTACCAGGGATTGCTCGTAATTTCAATTATCTTTTGTTTGTTAATGACTATCTTTTCTTTACATGTAAAATTTGACATGCATTATATTTATATATATGCAACTGGTACAAACATTCAAAAGCCCGTGGCAACGCACGGGCATTCTACTAGTGTTAATAGTTTCCGACCTTGTCGGCGATGAACGATGGATGTTTAGCTTATTCGGCGAGGACACATTAATAACTTCTAGCCTGATTGAACATTTTAATCATGGAAACACGTTTCTTCTCTGTTAGTTGAACACATATAGATCCTCTAGCATGTTCCTCCATTTGTTTCTTTTAAGAAAAAAGCTTGGTGGTGGAAAAGGTGAAGAATGAGTCAAAAGTCATACTGTCATGTTCGCTTCCATGCTCTAATATAAATTGTGAAGGTGACATACTGAAATTTGTTTGTAGTTGACCATACATTTCAGTTTTTCTTTGATGCTATCATTCAGATGGTCACAAACAATGTTACCATGCATGATGGGAAGAATGTTATTCATCAACCTTCGCCTCCTTTATTACATGATGCCTCTAAGCCTATTCGATGCTCGTTACAATGCTAGAAATGTCATTGATGTTTTGAGTCCTCATACCACTACATGCTAGATAAAAATATCCACTTGGTCTTTCTTGTATGAAGTAAAATTAACACAATGTGGCAAGGGATAATTCAAAACATGTTGCGTTTTGATTGATTTATTTACACTAGCCAGGTAGTCAAAAGTTCGCCAAATATTAGTTCATGCAAGAGGTTTCCTTCATTGCATTTCTAGTTTATAAATTTTCCAAAGAACGGTTTATAATGCGTCTACTCTATTTTTGTTTGTTCATGATATATTATTAAACAATAAAGTTGTACTAATTCACTTGAAAGGACATTATCACAAATAGATATTTTAATTTGTACATCATTGCTATATGTATATCTACAACCCAGTTTTTTTAGTCAGATATTTTTTGTTGTAGAGGTTAACTTGTTTTGCAAATTTGTAAGGATATTTGACATTGTAGTATTGTCATTGATAAAAATACAACTATTTATTTATAAAATTGTATGTTACTATTTTCAATGCACAAGTTTTGACTTCGATACATGCATTCCATATTAGGTGAATATAAATAAAAAATATATTCCTGTATGAGTTATTTTAGCTAAACTGTCTAGAAAATAGTTTGCATCAAACATGAAACATGGTATTTCAGTTACATATAAAAGAATCATGCTTCATGATGTTGCCTGCCCATTGGTTAAGCCATATGTGTTTAGTCACCAAGGAGGGAGGAGTTTATCATACTAATCATCATCGAACACATTATTCTTTGCTGTCTTGAGTAATTGGGCTTCTAACATCCCATGTTGCTTCCAACTCATCCCACGTTAGCCAAGAATAACTTAAGTACCTAGAACTAACAGTGGTTAGTAAAGCAAAGACTAAGCCGATGTCAGGAAAGGGGAAGGAACGACAAACCCGAAGTCAACTGAAAAAGAGACTAGATGCATTGCCTCGCTGCGCCTCGAGTTCACACTATGCAATCTGAACACAAAACAAAAAAAAATTATACGCAGTGCAATTGAAATGGAAGGAATACATCACAAGCTACACATGAAGAATTAATACGAGAACCACATGTGTACACACTATTTCAATTTAAGCGACATGTGCACACACTATTATATCAACGCTAGAAAGCAAATTAAACGACCCCAGTCCCGCTGCGTCTTGCACCGTGTCTCTTTATATACACAACGGCCGAGGGACCACACTATCGTTCAAGACAAGCTAGTAGCAATCTAGCAAGTATCTAAGCTGTGTAAGGAACAGAGGGCGAGAGAGAGAAGGGTGCAAAAGAGGATGAAGCCGCAGGCAGCCGGTTTCTGTGCACGTAACGGACGCAAGTTATTGTGCTTGACACATACAGCCATGGCTTTGGTGCTCGTCGTACTAGCACAAGCTGCCTCCCTGGGCACCGCCGCCGGTCCCAGAGAAATCATCGTCGGTGCTGGCATGTCCTGTAAGATCCTATATATAGCTATGCACTACTACACACATACATTGGACACGGGATAGTTGCAACACGTCACTACACGCAGGCATCATGCTCGGACATTCTATTTGGCCATTAATTATTATTTTGCGCTCTCTCTC